GCCTCCTCGTTCACGTCTACTGATAGTATTCAGTCATAAATATTTCCTTTTAAAAGTAGTTCTGTATCGAGAAGAATTGCCTCAACAAATGGTGATCTGGAAAAAAAGAACTTGCATTTTTTATAGCTCTTTCGTGCTGGAAGTCTGAAAGCACTTCATGGTAATTATTGGGAAGTATAATAGTTCCGCAAAACACCCATGATGTGAATGATAAATTTATGTGGAGGATTATTGGTCAAACACCTAGAGAAAGTCCCTTCTGTTTTTGAATAGTGCCGTGACATCTTTAACATTCACCTGAGGACAAGGAGATAGTCCCAATGAGATTAGATGGTGAATAGTGTAAGGCTGTATAGAAGTAACTATGCTGTTGTTGGGTGGTGTATATTGATTACCAGATCTTTTGCTATGTGGAAAGTGAATAATAAATTATCATCTCAGTACTTACTAGACAGGTCACTCACTGTACCAGGACTCTGATCTAACAACTCAATAGATATCAGGCTGAATTGGATACATGTCATTTGCATCACAAACAATCCTACAGATCTATTGCTATACAACTAATTGCCTAGAAATATAGTGATCTGAATGCAAATGAAAACAGCCACTCAGGGTTACTTTTTGCAAAACAATTGATGAATGTGTCATAATTTACGTTTTGCATCTGAGGAGTTTATTGAAGCAGCAGGCAAGTTGGTGATGATTAATAGGATAACAGTGACTGAATATTCAAAACTGATGCAAAACTCTAAATATTATGTGCTTCGGCAATTCTGAGCTTGAGTCGTTTCTCCTTCTGCTTTCTTGGGTGCTAGTCACCTGTTTATACTTTGCCAATGTGACCACTTTTCACCTGTGAGTTTGGGGAGTCTGTTTGGCCATGGAGAGCCTCAGAGTCAAAACCAATCCTCATCTGAGCTCTGGCATTTCTCATGATCCTACCCTTAAGATCGATGTCGTAACATTTAAGATTGTGCAATTTGGAAAAGTCTCAAATTGACTCTTGATTTGGAAGTTGGTCTTCCATGGTTCTCAAAGAAATTTTAAGACAATGATCTAAAGGCTAATAAATTTCAGGCATCACACATCTACTTTTCAGCAGCAGTCTCGAGATACCATTCAAACATGCTCTCCTGGCTCATTTTCAACTCTCTAACCAATATGCGCTCAGGCCAATTGCATAGTTGGGATCACCTAATTCAGAAACTCTACATAAATAGAAAAAAATGAGACTCAGATGCAATTTCTCACCAAATTAGGGTCGTAACAGATTCCAATTCTGCTGGGGTGTCTCAAGAATCTGGCCAGTTGATTGTGACGAACAGCCTCTTGACTACACAGAAGGAGATGAGAATACTGTGTTCATCTCTGCACCCACTATTCACCTCATGATGGTACTCCCCAGAATGACCTCTTAAGAGTCCTTGGAAATCTTGTGCTGCATCCTGCTGCTCTTCCTGTGTGATATATGTTGACAGCTCACTTAGCTCATGTCAGAGTTTCTCTGAAAAGGTAAGTGGAGTTGGAAATGTCTTGAGAATCTTAAATCAAATTTATTACTGTTTCTGTATCATAACATAGGTGCAATCTATCCCTATAACCTTATAAAATATATATTTACTGTTATAGAGCTCCGATTCTGTGGCTGACTCTGTGAAAATTACATGTTACAGTAAATAAATTCTTAGCAACCAGCAGTAAGCCTTTTCTCTACAGTCATGTTTGTATTGAAAACTGAGTTATTGTCTGCTTTCGTTTTTAAATATTATCTTGTCAGTCTTAAAATACAATTTATGTCACTTAAATGCAATAATATGTTGTTTATAGTGCCAGCCAGTAGCTGAATCAATGATTAGAAGTTGTGTTCCACCACTGGAAATGTTATGAATTTGAAGCATCATCTTGGAATATAACCTCCAACAGGGTGACAGGAACATAAGATATAAAATCCTACAAAACAATTTGGGAGTTAAAGAGAAACACAGCACCCAAGTACACTGGAGTTTCCCAAGTACACTGGAGTGATCCAAATATACTGGAGTTATCCAACTTGTCCCAAGTAGGGATACCTTTGGCTGAAAGTCTGGCTGATGTAACACATAGCACCTTTGGCGATGTTGGCTGGTAATGCAATTGATGATGGAGGATTACATAAAACATTACAACACAGAAATGGTCCATTTAGCCTAAGTAGTGCCTGCCAGGATTTATACCCCACATGAACCTTGATCCCTCCTAATCCCCTCTTCTATATCCAAGTGTTTCTTTCTCCTTCAGAGAACTCCACATTCTCATCACCCTCTGCTTAAAGAAATTCCTGACACTACAAAAAATACAATTTACACTGAGAGAGCGCATTTCAGTGCTTTACACAGAGTTTTATATATTTATCCTATGCGCAATCTTTCATTATTTTTTAATATAAAGAAACATTTATCACAATCAATTGTCACTGTGTCAGGTTGCTCTTTCCTCATTTACTGCGCAGATGCCCACTAAAGGAGGTCCACAATCAGGAACAAGCCCTGATAACCTATCCAAGGATGGAATTTTACAATTAATTGCAATCATCAAAAAATGGTTAAGACAAAGGGGTAAAAGTGTTGGGTGAAATCTCCACCTTAATTGAAATGCATCATTCAATGGGTAGCAAAGCGGAAGCCAGCTTTATTGATTCAGAGAGAATGTTTGTATAACTTGATGCCTGGGAGATGGATTAATGTATAGCATCTGCCTAAAAGAGTCAGCGAGATTTGCAACCATTGCGGTTGGAACTAATGGCTGGAGACAAAGCACTATACATCATTTATAAATTCTTCTAATTTATATCCGGATTTACAGCAAATGTATATAAATATCCTTCAGTGCTGTCTTTTTTTTTAATTCTATCAAAGTAAAGGAACTTTTCTACAAAATCAAATAATGGCTTTCTCTGTATATCTGTAACTGATGAAGAGAACCAGAGATTGTTGACTGCGAACTCAATCCAGAGGTTGGTGATTGTGTACAGTCTTGAGGTAGCAAGAACACAAATCAATCCCTGGGGGCAGGTTCATTCCACTCAGCTCCTGTTAATCCTGCAAGCCAAAGCCGTAATGGATACGGTGGTCCTAGCTGGACAAGCAGCAGAAAAACTTGCCAGGGTGTGATATCAATGGCAAGCTTTGCAGTTTTAGCCGGTTAGACTCCAAGAGGACCCTAACACACACTCTGGGGTCCCCAAGCCTTGACTCTTGCTAACCTGCACCTAATACTTTCCGGAATTAGATAAGCAGGATGCGTTCCTCCAGGGAGAGAGTGCGCATTCCCTTCCAACAATCTATCTCTGGGATTTCCACGTGTAGGTGGGATGCATGGAAATATCAGCTTCGTTTGAATTCTCTTAAGAACGGTGATTCTGCATGTGCCAGACACCTGACTGTCCCCCAAAAATTGGGGCTGCACTGTGCACTAATACGAACTGAGAAATAAATATCTGGAGTGGGTCCAGGGACTCGGATTTGTGACAAAACAGAATATACTGCTACCATATTAGTTTCTTCTATTAGATTGTGTAACCCCGACAGTGCACTGTCATTGTCGGTCTTTATTGTCACTGAACATTTGAAAACAATTTAAAATAAGCTTGAAAGCTAATATGTTTAAAATGTTTGTCGCTGCTTATTTTCCGTGCTTCTCTGGGTCCCATCTATAGCACTCAGAGGAGTTAGCTCATCCATAAGCTCTGGATGGGGGTGGGCAGAAATTGACTGAACTACATTGTATCTCGCTGAAATCACTGTGAAATTTCACCTGACATAGTCGCTGAAACAAATGTTCCCCAGTTAGCGTTGCATTGAGTGAGAGAGAGACAGAGAGGAGAGAGTAAGTGAGGTAGTGAATATGTCTTTCACAAATGTTCTCTCGCTCTCATTTTTTACCTCTGTCATAAGTTTTNCTTTTTGATTGGACTTACGGTCACCTCCCCCCTCCCTCTCGCTCGCTGTTAGACTCCGCCACTGTGAAGCGCTCGATGACGCTTTTTTTCTTGTAAATATATATTTATTGATAAATATATTATTTGGTACAACGGAAACCCCAAACAAACACAACGTACAACATTTTCTATTACATTTTCCTTTTCTCCTGATACAAAACCATTCAGTTGTTTACATTACGTTTCACCACACACAGGTTGTGCACAGGTTTTTTGGGACACACTACATCCACGCGCGCCCCCGCACACTCCCTGCTAAGCGCACTTGCCGCTTTCGGAAAGTGCCCCAATGTGTACCGTACATGCACATGTTTACCGTTCATACATTTTCGGAACGCTCCTTGTTTACATGTCGAGCGTTCTTCTGTACATTTATATGGTTACCCTCACGTTTATTTTAGTCATAGTTTTGGGTGCGCTCGTGGGCTACCCAGTGGGTGCCCCCTGAGCGGTTTGTGCAGGAGAGGCTACTGCCATCTGGCCTTTACTGGGCAACTGGCCTTTACCTCGTGTGAAGGGCACTATATAAATGCAAACTGTTGTTGCTCCCCTTTTTTCTGCCGCTGTCTCTCTCTTTCACACACACACCCCTCTCTCCTACGTATTTTGTCTCTCATTCATTGTATTTCACAAACAGCTATGCTTGCTTCTCTCACAGCCACTCCTCAATTGTGATACATTTATATGAGACTTCAATAATTTTTTTTGAACAGGTGCCAAGTTTACATGCAGCTGCTGTGAAACCCTGACCCTATTTACATAAAAACTCCCACTTAGGTGAGGAGTACAGCCTGACAATCCATTCACACCCTAAAGGAAGTTTGACTTCAGTCAAGTTTTAGGCTTCAGTGATTGAGAACGGCTCAGAGTCTTATTCTGCTGAGCCACACTGTGCCTTATGAAAGAGTCCTTGTCCGGGCTTCTGGCAGATTTCTCCAAACATCAGGAACGTGATTGAATGGAGCTCTGAACTTAGAAGAGGAAATCTGTTGTCTCTGACCTTGAGTGGGTTAATGTTTCTGACTACTTCTACTGAAAGACTGTGGTGTGTTAAGTTCACCGCACACTTCCTAGTTTCCTTTTTGTATTAACATTGTGCTTTTCAGAGTTAAGTGCTGCTCAGGCTCATGGCAGCAATGAAGCGATGCTGGTTCAAAGAGGCACCTTTCAAGCTCTGGACCCTGCTGGCAGTTTCCCTAATCTTTTCGCTGGGTGAGTATACAAACCTCTCATTATTCTGTAGCCTGTTTGATTGTGAAATGAGTGCTGGTGTTCCCTGTTGGAAATTTCACACACCCTTCCCTCCTGAGTTGTAAATCGATTCCAGAAATTCTGGCTCCAGAGCTGCACCTTTTCAGCCTGCTAAACAGGAGATAATTTTCAGGGGGTTTTGTGAACCTGAATAGTGACTGCAGTGCAACAAAGGGAAAGCTGTTGCCTTTGGTTCTGGCGACTCCCTCACCGGTAGCTAAAATAAGAGTTAAAACACGTTTACATCATCTTTCTCCAGTTTACAATGCAAAGCCCTGAAGTTATATGCATCACAAAGCGCTCAGAGGAACTGCCCTGAGGGAAGGGTGCTGTATAAATGCAAGTTGTGGCTGTTGTTCTTGTTGTCAGGAGACGGCGAATTATGGAGCAATTAAAACAGTCGCTGTCTATGTTCAGAGATTTGTGGGACTGCCTTAAGGCCACTTGCTGTTATTTGTCATCATTGGGACTGGTGAAGTTCACTCAGTCTGCTCAGTGACATATCCCAGGATTTACTGGGAGTCGCTTGCTAGATATTTCTCCACAAACCAGCATTAAAACCCAGCATCACAAATGCCAATGGTTTTGTGTGGGCGACACTGCACCTAGCCCAGGGAGCGTTGCAGCTATTGTGTGAATTTCACAACATATTTGAATGAAAGCTGACTGAAAGTAGGAACTGTGTGAATAGGTACAGATTCGCGCATAATACCAAAGAGTGGAGTCTATAGCTTAATGGTTAGAACACTCAACTCGCAAGTGAGAGGACCCTGATTTGTCTCGAAGATGTGATAAGGCGCTATATCAAATGCAAGGATTATTATTACAAGTCTGTGGACTCTTAAATAATCTGTTAAATTACATAAGCTTTAAGCATTGCAGTCTTAACCCTACGGTTATGTTCCTGCCTTGTAATCTATTTTCTCTGTAAACCATTGAGAAATTTCAGTCACTTGAAGCAAGCAGTTTTCTTCACACCCTGTAGTGTTCACTGGGAGATTAGCTACAAGGATTAAGAAATTGTCATGGCAAATTTATTTTTTGCTGTGTTTGCACAGGAATGGATTTGAATTTTGCAAAAGAAATTCCCACTCTTTCAGCACACCTTAAGGTGGAAGTGCAGTTGGGTGCAGACTTTAGGTCAGGAGTGAAGTTGAGATCAAGTTACAGCTGAGTAATGGACACTAGAGAAAGATGATAGGCAGCTTTGTGCAATGGAACCTGAGATCCTCATTTGAACAGGAAGATCCTCATTTGAAAGTCGTCATGAGAGGGTTCACTTTTTGCAAATCCTCTTCTGAATCACACATCTTAGATCACATTGTTACATTTCATCTACGAGGTTCAGGGTATAAATAAGTAATAAATGATCGTTTAAAATCCATCTAAACAGGCAGATGGAATCTCTATTTAATATCTCATCCATCGGATGGCACCTCCGACAATACAGTGCTTAACCTGCATTACACTGGACTATAGTCATAGTCCCAAGTTGGGGCTTCAAGCCACATGCTTTTGATCTGGAGGCGAGAGCGCTACCAACTGAGCCACGATGGTACAACATTGTAAAAATTCTTAAACTCAGACTTGTGTAAAGAACCACGGAAAACAGCTTCCAAACTAACACACTATTTTATCCAATCTTAAATTTTACGACAAAATGCCCTTACGGGCCAAGGTTACAAATAATTACTGTCCTCTCTGGTGTTGCTTTACAAGTTTTGCTTGAAATGCATCAAAGTTTTTTTACATCATGGTTGGTATCAATCGTGTCAAATGCTGACTTCAGATATAATACTGTTGTCTGATAACCTCAGCCTGGAATGAGCAGCTGCAAAAATTGCGTGGTCCACACCCTCTCTACGTCTAGTCTTCCAGGGTGAGCATAAAGAAATAACGTCATGATTGATGACATTTCTGCGTGGTGAATTCAAGTTCACACATGCTTACCTGGGAACTAGTTTTTTAAGGTGTGTTCACTACAAAATTTGACTTTTAATTCATCATTTCCGCCTTTTGTTGACACACATTGAGACAATTTGAGGAAGAGCTAGAGAATAGCGGCTAGAGTCAGACAGTGGGGTGAGGAGTGGGTGGAGGGGGGTGGGGGCAGAACCAAGGATTCAGTAGATACAGGATGGGAATTCATCATCTCCCTATAAAAACAACTTGCATTTATAGAGTGCCCCTCATGCAGGGTAGTGCCCCAGAGTGCTATAACCTAGCACCCTCCTTCTCCAGTCCCTCTTGTTGAGACCCATCCTCATCCTTTGCCCATACCTGCTCATTGATACCACCTTTAAACTCTCTTGTCCTCTTCTTCATTGAGCACACGCAACACCTTTCATTAAGTTCATTTTGGCCTCCTTCCCCACATCCCTTTGCACATTGTTGTCTTACTGTTACCACTTCCCCCCTTCCCCTTTCTTTGCTCTCCTTTCTCAGGCCCCACTGTCTCTATTTTCCCATTTCTTCCCCTCCTCAGGTATAACCCTGCGTCCTTCCTTTCTGAGGTTGAGATTCTCTGCTGCACCTGCTGCACTGTTCCCCAGTCTTAACACAAGGGAACTGTTTCTCGCTGGTTTGGCCAGGCCCAACCTGCAGCTGAGGCGGAAGAGGCTTAGATGAGTGAGATTGTGCTAATAGATTAACATACAGCAGTGGAATCTGGACTCGTAACTCGGAGGAGTAAAGGTCAGAAGTATTTTCATAAAAAAAGGCCACTTTATTACCAGTTGGAACTTGCAAACATCATCTGGTCAGCTGAAAGAAATTGCTGTCTGGTGACAGCCTATACTTTAACTCCATTTGAAGCGATGAACTCCATGCCATTAACTGAAACCGAGCGCTTTTGCTAAGTATGATACTGTATTATTAAATGTGTATATCGGATTAGCAGCATTTGTGCTGTTAAGTATTATATCCACTCTGTAAGACTTAATGGATATAATCTAAATATTATATCCACTAAATATAATCTAAATATTTATAAATAATATATAATCTAAATATTATGTCCACTATTTAAGACTAATTAATTAATAATATTAATAATAATTAATAAGAATTATTCTAACCTTACTTGCATTAGCAACCTGCTGTCTTGTCTTCAACATGTTTTCAACACTTTCTTGTGGTAACATTTTTATTGACATCCAATAACAACTTGCACTTATACAGCATCTTTTGTGCAGTTAAACAGGCTGAGCCAGCACCTTGGGACATTCTCCTGATGTGAAAGGCGCTTTACAAATATTATTGGTTGTTGTTGATGAGTGAGAGCCTAAGCAGAAAACAAGATGGGGAGGGATTTTGGGGGGGGAATAATAATCCTAATAATCTATTTGATATAGCACCTTATAACGCCGTTGAGACATCTCAAAGTGCTTCACAGAATATACTGTAAAGTGAATTGACTATTTGTTTGGGTGGGGGGAAGAGAGATAGGTGGGACGTGACTGAAGACGCAGTCAAAGAGATTGAATTTTTCTTTGAGAGTTTGAAAACCTCATCAATTATTTATTTTTACGAAGGGTTTTCAAAACTCTCTCACTCAAAATGATACCACAGGAGGGAAAGAAAAATGGAGGTTTATTGTAACTTTCTCTGCTGGTTACTTCCTCTGGAAAAATCACCTACAAAATGCAGTCACTGCACTTTGTAGTAAATCCTGTGAAGCGCTTTTAGATGTCCTCCGTGTGAAAAAGCACCACATCAAAGGCCAGGATTATTATTAATCATATTGAATAATATTTAATAATAATTATTCTGACCTTAGTCCATCCCATTATCTAATTCTGGTTCAATCACAGAAGTTCATCTAAAGGAAACTGAATTGTTTAGTCCCAAACCAGACAGCAGATGGATTTCTGTAGCCTTGTCTGCAGTTTCAGCCGCAGATTAGAAAAAGAGGAAATCGAGATGTATAGATTCCAGTCTAACAGCAGAAACGTCCATGATTTTGGAGTCCACACATTAACCATTCACTAAGCTCGCTGGTACAGCTCTGATATGAATAATGGCCACTTCAGTGAGTTGGCAGAGTCAACCTATACCTACGCAAGCAAATCTAGGAGGAGTGGTGGTGGGGGGGTGGGTGGGTCAAGTCACCTTTAGAAGAGAAATAGGGAAAGTGGAAATTTGGGTGAGAAATACAAAGTTCAGTTTACAATAATTTTTCAGAAATTGTCAATCATGGGCGATGAGAGTTAACTGGCCAGAAGCAGATTTTTAAAAATACATCTTTTAAGAGATTAAAAAAAAAGTCTAAATTGAATTAACCTGTGTTTTATACCTTGATGCAGATCTGTGTGTTGCACAACGGCTCGTGAGTTTACAAAAAAGCCCTCTTGTCCGTGTTGAAGGGCACCATACAACAATCCAATGTGACGTGAGTGGGTATCAGGGATCCCTCGAACAGGACTTTGGTTTTTCTATCTTTCGACCAGATAAACCTCAGTTGAAAATCCAGATTATCAGCACTCATGATTCAGGCTTTTCATACGCTAAGTATGGAACCAGAGTGCGGAACAAGGAGATTTACATAGAGAGACTGGCAAAAGACTCAGTGCTGTTGCACATTACAGACCTGAAACCAGATAATCAAGGACTGTATGAGTGTTTCACCCCAAACACAGACGTTGCTTATTGGGGGTCCTACAGTGCTACAACGAATTTGACAGGTAGGTCTTCCAACCATTTTTACATTTTATATTGTATGCGAGTTCACAGGATCATACTGTAGCATTAGCCTTCATTCTGTATGTTCCCTCACTGTTTGATTTTGCTTGATTTAAATTTTCCTTATGCTCCCGAATATACAAATGTATTATTAATAATAGATGTACTATGCATAGTGCATATTTTCTCATCATTTGGTAGCAAAATAATTAGTAATTTGTATTCTTTTAAGCAACAATTAGTTACATTTCTATATAAAAGTCTATAAATAGCCACTGTACACCTTTTAGCCCTTGCTGAATACATGTGCTCTTATAGTCATTCCAGATACGCTCAGTGCAACATCGGTACCCCAGACCCTGAGTAAAGTAGAAGGTGACTCTCTAGAGCTGCTGTGTGAGGTATCAAAGCAAACCTTACAGCACACGCATGTGGCTGTCTCATGGTACCTACAGAAGGGAGGTCAGAATCTCAAGGTCATCTCTCTAACGCAAGAACTCATTCTGGAAGCTGGAGAAGTGTATAAGCGAAGGCAGGCATTGGGAGATGTACGCCTGGACAAGATTGGAGCCACCTCATACAAATTAACCATCGACAAACTGCAGACATCAGATGAGGGGGAGTTTTATTGTGAAGCCAGAGAGTGGATCCAAGACCCGGACAATGCCTGGTATGACCTGAACAACAAGGGCACAGACAAAACTGTGGTGAACATTAAAAGCATAGGTAAGGCTTCTGGCTTCCTAAAATATAGTCAGGATCAGTTTAGCAATTTTTGCCACATGGAGTCTAAGTTGCTGTATTTCTTCCTGGGATTTAAGGAATCTTATTCAACCTGCAGAAACACCACTTCAGAAGTGGATTGGGACAGAGCAGAGTTCCTGAAGGGATCCCAATTGGCACAATTCAACTTCCTTATTAATAATAATAATCCTTGCATTTGTTATAGAGATGTCTCAAAGAGCTTCACAGAATATACTGTAAAGTGAATTGGCTGCATATTTTGTGGGCGAAATGTGGCAGTCAATTGCACACAGCCGTGTCCCACAAACAGTTGTGGATTGAGTGACCAAATTATTATTTATTTGTTTATTTGTTTGTTTATTTGTTTATTTATTTGTTTGTTTGTTTATTAAGGAAACATGTTAAGAAATATTGCAATTTAGACTACACTTGCATAAGGGTACTTACTTGCATCATTTGATGGCAGTCACCAACATTTATTGGAATATTAGAATATATATTTTTCTTTACATTCTGGGTGATAACTGTATTTAAATAGGTTTCTCATCTCTTCAGAAATAGGTCACAATAATTTATCATTCAAATAAAATACATCAAATGATCAAATGACACTATTCTCACTGCTGCTGCAGTAATGGGTACTTATTCCAGAAATGATGCAAGTGCTGAATCCCTTTCCTTAAAATAATGAGGGGTATGTGTGTGTCTGATGATTTTTCCATTTGTTTGTCTCTTCACAAAATTAATTAGGCTTTTTTAACGCCCACATTGATATTAAGATAAATGTTTCATCCACTTTCAATACATTTAATTCCTTACACAAATTGCTTACTTATCATCTCAGTAATAAACCAATAAGGTCCTCTTCCGAAACATAGAAACATAGTCAGGAAGATAGAAAAAACAAATCAGGAGGAGGCCATTCAGACCATCGAGCCTACACTAACAATTTGTTAAATCTTGATAGATTTAAAGCCCCATCCTTTCACAATATTCCTTAATTTCACCCACAAAATATACAGTCAATTCACTTTACAGTATATTCTGTGAAGCGCTTTGAAATGCCTCAATGACGTGATAATGCGCTATATCAAATGCAAGGAGTGTAAATCCATATGGTCTGGTGGGGCCAAGTGGCCTGTTTCTGTGCTGTATGTTCTTTGTAATCAGAGATTGGTAAATATGTGGAATAGACTATCCACAAATGATCAATGGGATGTCTCCAAAGATCAGGAATGCACCACAGCTGGAAAATGAAAGTTGCAATTTGCAAATGTGAAATAGATGTGCAAGTGCATCTCTGCGATTGTTTTGTTTTCTTTTTGTTCTTTGAAATCTCCTACAGACAAATTCCGTAGCATTGGTAGCCTTAAGTAATATAAGTATATAGGTCACGTTATTCTGCACTAGAAAGGTTGCCGTTTACCAAGACTGAAATGGTCCTGTAGCTCAGTGGTTAGAGCACTCGCCTCATAAGCGAGAGACCTGGGCTCTATTCGGGTCAGAGCGAGTTTCCTTACTACACATGACTGATAATAAAGCAAAAAAAATTTGGTTACTCAATCCACGACTGCTGTGTGCAATTGGCTGCCGTGTTTGCCCACAAATAAACAGTCAATTTACTTTACAGTATATTCTGTGAAGTGCTTTGAGACGTCTAGAAGACGTGAAAAGCACTGTATCAAATGCAAGGATTATTTTATTGTTATATTTACATGCCTACTTGTAAGTATTATATGGTTGTTTGTTTAGCTAGGAAGACATTGGGGAGCAATGGAAAGGGAGAGAGAACTACACAATCACTGGCAGTGGGAATGAAGAGCATTTTCTACTCTGTTTGCTACTTACAAAGAATTAGTCTTATTTGTGTTAGTTTATAACACTTACCAAATTTGTCCCTATGCTCTTAGAAATAACTGCAATTTCATTTTAAATTATTATTAAACCTACATTTTAAAATATAAAACTTCTGCACAGTTATCTATGAACTTTCAATCCTAACAATAATCCTCGCATTTGATATGGCACATTTCACGTCACAAAGACATCTCAACTAGCTTCACAGGCTATACTGTAAAGTATTGCGACTATGTATTTTGTCCGAATGCAGTAGACAATTTGTGCACAGCAGCATGCTACAAATAGCCATAAAGTGAGTGTCCAGTGACATAAAGGTCAAACGTTTGGAGCAGTCGAGCATAGCCTCTGAAGACGGTCAAATTTGCTAATTTTAGTGAGCGGAGGAGTAACTTCTATTTCTGGAGATGCATTGAATCCGGTCAAAGACATGTACACAGTTTGATTGTGCTCTTCATTTGAAGTCAAGTGAAACCCAAAGTTTAATTCCTCACAGACTCCAAACACAACCAATACACACAGTTATTGTCTGCACCGAGTTATATCCAAATAAAATTGGTCACTGTTTATGGGTCTTACTCTGTGCAAATTGGCTGCTATATTCGCCTACACAAATACAGTCATTGGACCTTCCAGTAAATCCTGTAAAGTGCTTTTGAGACCTCCTCCCAATGTGAAGGGCCCTACATCAAATGCAAGCCTTGTTATTATTTGAGGTATTCAATTATAGCCACAACTGTCTCAAAGATTCCTCAGTTTTGTTTTGTTTTGTTGGTGTATTATTTTTATACACTAGCATTTATTCCAAAATTACTTTAATTTAGCTGCTCCCAGCTGAAGTGACAGGCATTGGAGCGATTATTGTGAGGAGCACAAATCTGAGTAATAGTGGAGGTGACAGGAGATCATAAGTAACAACAATGTGCTAGACAGGATAATTGCAGGGAAAAATGGTCTCAGATGTATAAACTGAGGTTCTTTTGTTCAAGCCTGAAATATTGACCTTTGATCAACGTCAGTATTATGCTAATGTACAGAGTGAATCACTGCTATTAACCTCTCAACAGTCTCTAACTGCTGGTTTACAGTGGAGCTCTCCAGGTTACACCAAAGGGAACGCGTTACATTTATGCCCCAGGCTGCTCCAGAGCAAATGTGATAAGAGAGAGTGTTTCAAAATTCTTTGGCCAGATGCCAAGAGTGAGATTGTGACAGTCTTTAAACTTTCATGAGGAGAGATTTCAGGAGTGACTTACAGAGTTGCAATTTTAGATGTCTTCACGACCCCATTTTTGCAGTGCATTTATCCTGAAGAAAACTGCTTCCTGAAGCAGTTCTTCAATGCTAGATGGTGTTTATCATGTGCACTATTTATGTGGCAGGGCAGGCACTCCCTGCAGTGGCCATTAGCGCTTTAATTCAACCATGCAATTGGAAGCTTGTGCACAAATAGTGGCTACATATTTAACTGATGACTGCACCTTCCCCTTTGTTTGTTTGGGGAAGGCCTGTGAAAACAGTTACAAACAACACACCCTTTTTGAGGCGAGTACCGTTGTTCAGCCCACGACTGGTTGAAAGTTATTGCCACCTTGGCCTCCCCCAACAAGCCCACCTTGCATTTGTGTTGCCATTGGAGGCGCTACCATCAGCCAAAGGCACTCTTTTATTGCTATACACTCACTAGAAGCAGCCATCTTGTTCCAAATCCTTTAACATAAGAGTGGAATTGCAGTTAGTGATAAATCAGCAATGTAAATGCAGCGCTAGATTTCTTTCCTGTTGGCTGCTTCCCAATGACCCATGAGGGCAAGATTGGTCTGGATCCTGAATTTTTCCATTGCCACTTTCTAATGGGAATGAGAATTTGGATTTGCACGTGAGTAAACCCACATTCCAGTTTGGGAGGAAAAGGCGCAGGCATGTATGTATATTTGCGTGCCATGAAAACCACTAGGAAATTCAGACATCTTAGAATGCTAGCTGCTAGTTTTTGCTTCCTTGAAGCAGATAAGAATGTCTCAGAGAGGCATTGGCCATACCTGTGCATAAGTTATGTGCAACTGTACTTCAGAACAGTGATACCAGGGACCAGCTTTTGCAGTTTGTCCTTAGCATGTGTCAGTGCTATTTGTAAGTAAGCCTCTCATGTTACTCAGCGTAAAGATTTTCATAGACTGGCGTTAGTCCTGGCGCCTGTTATTGCAGAACACAGCTTCAGAGCATGCCAAGTGAAATTGAAATGATAATGTTCCACCGTGTTAACATTATGGACAAAAAAAAACCCAGTTCCGATTCTTCTTAAACAGAGTTGGACATAACATCTTTGCTATCAACTTAGCAGCAATATTGTGTAGTAACAATACTGTCAAATAAAAATACTGTGGTTTGATTTCACTGTAGGTAAGGAGTTCCGTGCTCGGATTGAAGCCACTCCAGCCAGCATCAATGTTGGAGCTTCATTGGAAGTAGTCTGCATTGTCGAAGCTCAGAACACTCCCGACCGCCACTTCTCTGTCACCTGGTTCTTAAAAAACAAGGAAATAATTCGCTTGGGACCCAATGCAGTGCCAGTGTTTCATGGTGAATATTTCAACAGAGAGAATCTGGGGAAGGTGAAGGTCAATAAGAAAAGCAACTCAGAGTATCTTCTAAAGATCTATCAGGTTCAAATGGAAGATGGTGGCGTATATTACTGTCAGGTGGAAGAGAGTGAGCAGATATCATCGGGAGCCTTTTCTACCAAGAAATCAGAGGAAGTTACAGTCACCGTCGAGAGACCACGTAAGTTAATAAAGCACAATAAACACGTAGATCTTTCTGCTGATCAGAATGATGGAAAAGGAACAGGTTCATGCTTCAATCCTCACAAAACCTCAACATTTCACCTCCATCCCCACCCTCACTCATCCCCCAATGTCAGATGTTGGGGACAGTGCAGAGCAGTGCAGTTGAGACAACACATTTCTTTTGGTTTTAGTCTGAGCTTTATTGTCTGAAAACTATTATTCAAATTTTAAATTTCAAAGCAATGGTCCTTAGGGTAAGACCATTTAAATTTCAGGCCTCAACTGCATGCCTTCGCTGCTAATGTTTGCAGTTCTACAAAAAGAGGCAATTCACTAAATAATTGCATTATCAATTGGCCTTGCATTTGAAGGCATTGCAAAAGCTTGGAACCAGTCTGGATTTGCTCCAGAGGTGAGATGACAGGCCACTGCTCATTCAGCCCTCTGTGAGGGCTTTGAGTTGCATGTCTCCTCAGAGTTAGTTCAATCCCAGTTCAATCTCAGTGAGACAGATCCACACACCACACACCCTGATAGTGGAGTCCTGTAGCTCAGTGGTTAGAGTGCTTGCCTCACAAGCGAGAGACCTGGGTTCATTTCCCGGCAGGGTGAAATGTTGGGCAAACTTCCATACTCCACTTGCCTCTGTTTACCTGGCAGTAAGTAGGTACCCGGTTGTTAGTCGATTGGCGGATCGCTTTTCCGGGTGTAATAATTCCTTCAAAAAATATAATAATAAAATTGGTCATTGAATCCACGATTGTCTGTGGGAACTGTTGGGTGCAATTGGCTGCCGTGTTTCGCCCACAAAATATACAGTCAATTCACTTTACAGTATATTCTATGAAGCGCTTTGAGACGTCTCGAAGATGTGATAAGATGCTATATCAAATGCAAGGATTATTATATGTTATCATTATGACACTTTATTTGAACATTCAGTTTATTGTCCTCGGAAGTGTGAAAAACTTTTAAGTTTCCAATCTGAAGTTTAGAGTTGTACTGACTGAGCTACCCGAGATATCATCGAATCCACAAAAAGGACTATTGCAGACCATTCACTAAACTGACTATATATTGATAAAGAATAAAACATTTGACAGCAATTCAGCATTGGGCTTCTGCCAGCAATCCCCTTTGTCCTTGGAATCTAGTACACCATCAGAACCGCTCAATTCAATCCTTGGCTTGTAACCCATGTTCTCAATACATGTCTCACGCGAGGTTCAACATTTATCTTTTTACAGAGGCAAACCTGAATGTGGTTATCAGCCACAAAACAGTCCAACTCTTGGAAGGCGACTCTCTTGAGATCACTTGTGACATCCAGTCGACGACTGGAAGCCATGGCCAGCTCTCTGTAGATTGGCAATTCCTGAGCAGCAAGGGTGAAACCAGCAAAATCATCAGCATGGACCAGGATGGCACCCAGGTTACTGCTGAATCATACCGTAAGCGCGATGTCAGGATGGCGAGGGTGCAATCGGATGCCTTCAGTTTGGGGATTTATAATCTGATGACATCAGACAGTGGGCAGTACACATGTAAAGTGGTGGAATCAGAAGCAGAGTCCAAGCAACTAACTGGCGAGTACGTCAGCAACAGTACAGTCTTGACCATTGAACCACTTGGTAAGCACTTCAAGGCAGCTTGCCTTTAAATATGTAATTACTGAACTTGACAGAAATTATTTGCGAAGCCCTTTGAGATCTTTCGACATCACAGCCACTCGATCATTATTATTGGCTGATGGCCACAAAATATACAATCAATTCACTTTACAGTATATTCTGAGAAGTGCTTTGAGATGTCTCAAAGGTATGATAAGGCCCTATGTCAAATGCAAGGGTTATTATTGTTATTATTGAACATTCATGCTCATTCACTTCTATGCAGTGAATTGTAGTGCTCATGAGCTTTGAACTTCACCTGATCCCGGTCATTCTGGTGCTGAGCCTCTGCTCACCATGGAGTCAAATCTCCTCTCTGCCCAGAGACCATTATTATTAATAGAGACCTGATTCTGACTGGGGTTTTCCTAAATTTGGAAAAGCAGGAAAAACAGCCATTGTACATTCCAAGTAGTTGCCTCCAAAGGCAGGCTTACTTATTAAATAACGTGAGCTGAGGTGACCTGGAAATAAATGATAACATTTTGTAATTATACTTTTTTGGGGGGTTAGGGGGGGAGAGAGTTTCCAGTTCCAGCTATTTAATGACGTCTGATTTAAGATAAAATGATTATGTAAATGCAATTTGTTGCTGTTGTTGTTGAAAAGATAGAGCCAAGATATGGCTGAAAAGCTTTAGACATGACCAATGATGGATTCCTGCTTGGTGGAATTCATTTTCAAGTCCCTCCAAGGCTTTTCTAATTTTACTAAGTGGATACTGGCCAAACTCTATTTGGGTTTAAGGCAGCATCTGATGTAAGAACCCAGAGAGGCTCTTTTTCCCATTGAAAAATGAAAATTAAGGCTCACCTAGAATCTAAATGTTTTGCTAGAAAATATAATTCACTTTTCTATCCTGATCCTCAGTGATTCCAGCACTTCACTTTACCATTTAATGTCTTTCGTTTTTAACAGAAAACAATTTCAAAGTTACTGCAATGACCAGGACGCCAGCAGTGAAGTACAATGATACTTTTAAACTCCAGTGTGTCATTCAACCCAGGTATCCTTCCCATGTGATAGTATCTGTAATCTGGAAGTTCCAACCTAACTCATCCACAGACAGCTACAATCTGGTCACTTTCACACCCAAAACTGCTATTGAATGGGGGGACAAGGTGGATAACTTCAAGACAAAGACCTCGGTGGTGAAAACAGTGTCCAATATTTTCCGTCTGAGCGTCTCCAGGGCAAGCCATCTGGAAGCTGGGAAATTCCTGTGTATGGCTCAATTATGGGTGAGAGAGAACACAGGGGAGATTGTCATGAAAGCTAGCAAAACGTCAAACATCCTCCAGGTGAAGGTTACACCCCCAGGTAAGTTACTACCTGAAGCAATTTCTATATTTCAAAGGATCAAACATTCGGTATAGCAGAGCCCACATTAACCCTTGCTGCATAGCAGGTATTAAGCAGTCCTCACAAACAGAATAAAAATTGATATAAAGAACAAAATAGAAAGCAAACAAACAAGAGACCAAAATGAAACGGAAAATCTGTAATAAATATGCAGTAAAACAAATGAGACACAATAAAGCACTTAGCTCCATCAGCAGAGCTGGCTTGTCTATTGTGCAGGGTATTAATGACAGTCAATTGGAGTCATTCGCAGAAGCATGTGGAATCTAAATGAGAAACCTTTATATTAGGTTGTATGTGGTATAAATGATATACTTTTTCAGAACCTTTTTCAGAATGCAATTATCTATCGATTCTGACAGTAATTGGTGCAGAGTTGCTGGAGACAGAGAGCACAATCACTGGGGCTGGTGCTTGACAGGACAGGCACTGTTATAAAGGCCCAGATAATGCATTGCATGGTGCAATGGAGCCTGTAGATTACATTGCATGGTTATTAGAGTCTGTATTACACTGGTGCAAACTGCATTGTTACTGGTGCAGCAGTGCTGGGGTTGCAACACACATTAGCTGTTATGAGCGGATTGCTCTCCTGATATGAGAGAGCTTACACTGTGGAAACAACAGTTGGGCATATTAACCACTGTCTTCCTTGCTCACCTCAAACCTGAATTGAGCACAAAATAAAAGGCATGGATTGTGATGTGATGCTATCTTTCCCGCTCCTACAGTGAGCAAATTACAGGTCAACAAGGAGATCAGAAACATAGAGAAAAGGATTAATGATATCGTCGAGGTTGAATGCAGAATTTCAGCTCAAACACAGAATGATTCACAATTTGCAGTAACGTGGCTCTTCAGGAAAGCACAGGACTCTAACACTGGGGATGAAAACCTTCTGCAAACTGATCGCAATAATATCATCCAGTACTACGGTGAGCTGCTCACGGACACTCAGAAGAAGATGAAATTCCAGGGGGAGAAGACCTCTAACGGGGTGTACAAACTGATTGTACAGAAAACGGATGTGACCGACAGTGGGAGATACCACTGCCGCGTGGAGGAATGGCTCTCAGACCCCAACAACGTGTGGTACAAAATAGGAGAGGATATGTCGGGGGTGACAGATCTTCAAGTCCTTAGAGCAGGTAAAGAACGTTGAGAGAAATTTGATTAAAAAAATTCCCCGGTGCTGGAACAATTTGGTTCATTGTTTCGTTCACAAAATATACAGTCAATTCATTTTACAGTATATTTTGTGAAGTGCTTACAGATGTGATAAGGTGCTATATCAAATGCAAGGATTATTATTATTATTATAATACAAAAAAATTAGTTGATTCCTTTTTTTTGAGAGCCAGCCTAACTGTTGGGGATCAAAAGCCTACCTGCTGGGGAAGTTCAGCTCCAGGTGAACACAGGAACAATCAAGGAGAAGAGTATTGTAGTATCTATTGATATGACAGGAAGAAATGAATAAATAGAAAGAAGATTTGCAACATATAGGTGATAGGGAAGGAGAAAATTGTGCAGGTAGCAAGCACATTATAACATCTAAACAATCCAATACAGTACACATTTACATTTATATAGTGCCTTCCACATCAAGAGGATAAACAAGGAAGTGAGTGGGGGAGAATTGTAGCATGCAACAAAATAAGTGGTTGCTTGAATCAATAAAATACAGTAGTAATGGTGGTTGTTTCGGATAAAACCGGATTGATGGATTTGATCAAGTGTGTGGTGATGTGACCTGCGCATTTAAGGTAAAATGGAAGCAGCACAGAACAGAGGGTAAGCCAGAAGCCAGATGATTTTTAGACGGTGAGGAGCAAGACCTTAACTGCCTGTCAGAGCCGAGGTTATTAATGGGTTTAATAACTGACTGTTTGGCCTTAGGAATTGGAGTTTAATACATGAATTGGTAAATTACCTCTGATACAGTCTTATAGTGAAAGCCTAGTCATTCGCTTACTCATCCTGAGCAACATAGAACTTTCTAATAACCTGTTTGTTCAGAGATCTGGAGCCATAAGATTGGATAGGCTCATAACATGGGATCAGCAATGAAAATCCATGTGACTAGATGAAGTAGAGTTGTCAGCTTCATACTGCTGAGCAGCTCAGAGATCATAGCACTCATTTTTTACACCGTGCATGTTACGCATTGCATGCTTTTGCAGAATTCATACGTGTCCACCTGCACACACAAATCTTTCTTCTATTAATAGTCCTCGGTAGTGCAGAAATAAGTCTGCATCTCTTTCCTCTGGTGGTGCAATGAAGCAAAATGTTTTCGGGAGATCTATGCGGGGAGCATCAGAATCAAGATGAACCTTCAGATCTTTAGTGCAAAATTGTGCAGGTTATCAGAATGATTTTCGTAACTCAGATTATAAAAAATAATAATAATCCTTGCATCTTCTCAACGTCCCAAAGCACTTCACAGAATATACTGTAAAGTGAATCGACTGTACATTTTGTGGGCGAAACTCGGCATCCAATTGCGTCCAGCAGTGTCCCACAAACAGCTGTGGATTGAGTGATCAAATTATTATTATTATTTTTTTGAAGGGATTATTACCGCTGGAAAAGCGATCTGCCAATCGACTAACAACCTGGTTCCTACTTACTGCTAGGTGAACAAAGGCGTGTGGAGTAAGGAAACTTGCCAAACGTTTCACCCTGCCGGGAATTGAACCCAGGTCCTCTTGCTTGCGAGGCGAGTGCTCTAACCACTAAGCTACAGAATCCCAGCTACAAGAATAAGCCTCACTCTGTTTTCTTTCTGTTGCTACCTCAGGTGTGAAATTACAACTCAGTAAAACGAATAGCACAGTGACGACCATCGAGGATGATGTTGAAATTAAATGTAATATCGAGAGTCAGTTACAGAGGCAGTCACAATTCTCAGTCATGTGGTACTACAACCAAGAACAGGAACCAGATTCCAAGGGAATAAGCCTTCTTAAAACCGATCACAATAATATCCTGATCCAGTACCCAAAGTCGCAGATGGGTGCCCAGAAGATGAAATTTCAGAGCATAAAGGTTTCCAACAGCAAGTTCAAGTTGATCATTCAGAAACCAGAGCCCAGGGACAGCGGTGTTTACTATTGTCGTGTGGAAGAGTGGGTCTTAAACGCTCAAAACGAATGGTACATTCAAGGGGACGATTTGTCTGGATTAACAAAGCTTGAGGTCCAAGCACCAGGTAAACAATTCATGTAACCATTCCATCAATCTCAACACATTGGGGTTATTCTTCACCTGTCATGTACACAGCCAATTTAAACCAATTACAGACATGCCTCAAGTACATTTGGTTAGAACTGACCTTTATGTCTCAGCTTGGCTTCATTTGTAGCACTCTCACATTTGGGACAGAAGGGTTCAAACCCCATGTCTTTCTGTGACTCATTTTTTCTGAATCCCTTGCCTGCTCTCTTTTCCTCAGTTCTCTTTGTGAATTCCATTCTCCTTCTCTCTTTTGTTTTCCTTTTGATTCCCACTCTCCTGCTTGTTCTCTCTCTCTCTGTTCCTTCTTGAATCCCACTTTCGTGATCACTGCGCATGCACTTCAATCATTTTCAAGAGGTGTTTCAGTTGGCAGCATACTTGAGAAGTGGGGTGGGGGAAAACTATCGCCTGTGAATCTGAAGATTGTGGATTCAGGCCCCATGTTGGCTCTTTGAGCTCACAGCCTAGGCTGATGGTCTTATGCAGCACTGGGTTGTTGGAGGTGCCATCCTTCAGATGAGATGTTAACTGAGGTCCCATTCTGTGCCTGTTCAGGTGGACGTTAAAACACCACTTGAAAAAAGGGAGTTAAAATTGGGATTTCCCTATGCACAAATTAGCTGCCATATTTAACTTCAAACGCACAATTACTGCACACTTCCAATTTTGTTTTGAGATGGCTTGCTAATGTGATAAGGCGCTATGTCAAAATGCAAGGACTATTATTGTTATAAGTTTTTGTGTGATTAGACCATTGTGCTTTCCTTTCTCTTGAGGACACTAAGTCTTAAGTAAACCAATGCAGAAGTGGTGAAGATTACACCCGCTGACAGAGGATTTGACAGAGAAATTGGATTTAACAAAAGGGGGAAATTTACGCAAAAATCTTGTAAAAATGAACTGAAACAAAATTTATAATACTGTGTTTGGAGCAGAAGTAGGAGAGAAATGCTTCTCTTTCTTTTATCCACAAATAGAAAGCAGATTACAAGTGTACAAAACTGAGGTAAGTATCAGTGTACAGTCAAAGGAGCTGTTCCACCTTCATTGCAACATCACCTCCCAAACCAAGGATGATTCCCAATTTGCTGTGTCCTGGTTTACTTTGAAAGCAAACCAGGGAGCTCACGAAAAGAAAAACCAAGAGGTTTTAAAAATCAATCACAATTCTGTCTTTGAGTATGGAGCTGAGGGGATGAAGGACAGGCTACAGCTTGAGCGACTCTCCAATAGATTGTACAGCTTGACAGTGCACAACGCCAATACGGGCGACAGTGGGATCTACTATTGTGATGTGGAAGAGTGGATTCAAAGTGTCAACAACACCTGGTATAAACTAGGGGAGGCGCAATCTGGATTGGCCATGGTTACGGTAGAAACAATAGGTAAATTATTGCCACACTATCACAGACTGTATATTTGGGAAGTAATATTTCCATTGAAACTAACAATGTTTCTTAACAGGTTTCCTTAATAAAGAATCCGAGTCGTGCACATAAGGACTCCTTGTGTTAACCTCATGCCCACCCATGGGAATTCTGCTCTGATATAATCTAATTCCGGAGACCCGGGTTCGATTCCTGGATTTGATAAAGTTTTACTGGGGTTTTAAGAAAAAGATTAAATGGATGGAATTATTCGTTGGTCAACAAACGGGTTTGTAGACTTAAATTAGCATCAAAAGTACAAAGTGATGTTAAAAAGACACAAATCTATTAGCAGAGTTAATAGTTGTGGTGCTGCAGTAGTGACTGAGATCGCCCAATGTTGTAATCTGCAAGATAATGGTTTGTGTTGACCATTTTATGTCACATTGTATTGGAGAAGCATCACCACCAAAAACTATAGCACAGCTTTAAATAATCTACTTCCCTCTGTCTAACTCCACCACCACTATAGTGCACCACGAACTGTAGTCTCAATCATCACACCATCTTCCCAGCCACTGCAGACATTCTCATAGATTTGACGTCAACACAGTCAGCATTTCAGTATAGAGCAGTTTACTGTATTTAGGTTGTCACAATAGAGGGGACTTATTTTTAGATCAGGTTCATTAAAACATCAAGCGAAGTTGCACAAGTAGCGCTGTGCCTTGGAAATGTATATTTCCCGGATTAACAAAAGCTTTCCCACACGATTGTAAGATTTATTTTTCTAAAATCCAGAAAGTTTAAAAAAAATGCATTGATTTACTTCATTTCTATTTCTAGATTTGAGCCGATTAGTGCAACAAAGCCACATTTAGAAAATAATCATTAATATTATGATTTAATATATAGTTTAAATACAGCCAACATTCAGATTGCTGTAATAATTCACTGTGAAATGGGAAGTAGTGCCAAAAGGAAATAGGAGGCACATGTATTCTATGTATGAGATAGAACTTGCCAGTGGGAAGTTGAAAGAAACCTATGGGTGTCGCTGACTGGTCACTTGCTATGTTGAAACAGTTTGAGGCAGGAATAAACAATAGAAACCGGATGCTGGACAATATTGCCAAATCATTTGATTTCAGTGGCCCAGAAATCACGTTTTAGTGTGCAGTGCTCTGGTCATGTTAGAGTAGCCTGTATAGTTATGGTTGCTGCAACATAAGGGGGCTGTTCAGGTCATAGAGCCAATGTAGAGGTGAGGAACGAGGAAGAACCTTAGCATTAGACAAATCAATTATGAGGGATAATTTAAAAAGCATTTTATTATAAAGTACTAAATGGGATTGAGAAATTAAAAGGTAGAAGTAAAGGCAGAGTTGTAAAGATCAATTTCAGGATAGGCAACAGGAAGTATTTCTTTACACACAGGGTAACTATCAACTGGAACGAGCTATCAGGAAAGGTGGCCAGGACACTGGACAGATTCTTTTCTTCCTGGAATAAGGAGATTAAATCTTTAGATGGGTCATCTTCCACATTAGTGATTCTGGGATTGACTGGCGAAAAATGAAAGCATTACACATAGGAATGACAGGAAGGAGGTGATATATTAATGAAAAATATCTTCATTTATAATGTAATATTAATTGATACGACAATTCTGTAGAACTCACTTCTCCTGTGATTACGTTGTGTACCGTTATCTGCGAATCAGTTGAATGCAGGAAGCGTGTATAATTTGAATATTTAATGGTCCATTGAAATGCAGAATCTGCCATTTAATGTGAATATTTAATAGGAGATTAAAATACACATGTAGTATGATCTAAATACTCCATGAGTGGCTGATACCCGAGTGTTATATAATGTGAATATTTAATAGGGAACTGGAATATTTAATGTGCTATACAATATAACATGAATAATTTAAGGGCATATTAGAATAGACTGCTGGCTGATCCGAATACTCAGTAGCAAACTGGAATGCAGAATGTTATACAATGTGAATATTTAATGTGCTTGAATACAGAATCTTTTGTAGAATGTAATGGTGAATACTTAATACAGATTTGGGATATAAAAAGTGCTGTGCAATGTGAATGCTCAATTGTGGAACTATAACATAGAACTTTTCCCATCGTAGGAGGAAAACCTTGAAAACTCATTTGTGGCATCAATATTTATTGTTATGAATGGTCAGGTTTCCTTCAACCCCTATATTGCAAACTGACTTTGAGCTCATACAGTAGTCTGACACTCCAATTCATTGTGGGGGGGGGTGTACACTGCATTTTGGATGAGACGTTAAACCAAGCTCCTGTAGCTCAGTGGTTAGAGCACTCGCTTTGCAAGCGAGAGACCTGAGTTCAATACCAGGCAGGTCAGGGGGAAACCTTGGGCAAGTTTCCTTACTCCACACAGAGCCTAATAATAATCCCTCCAAAACCCAAAACAATAATAAATAGGTCATTTTCAATCTACGACTGTTTGTGGGACATTGCTGTGCGCAATTGGCCGCCGCGTTCGCCCACAAATATACAGTCAATTCACTTTACAGTGTGTTCTGTGAAGCGCTTTGGGACGTCCTCCCGACGTGAAAAGCGCCATATCAAATGCAAGGATTATTATTATTATTATTAAGCTGCCTAGTAACGAACCAAAAACATTTGAAAAGAGAAGGGAGTTTCTCCCTGCGTCCTGGATAGCAATCCCCCAGATAAAGTTGCTAAATCACTTCATGGCTGTTTGTGGGACATGGTTGTGGGCAAATTTGCTACTGTGTTTGCCTACGAAATACATAGTCACAACACAAAAAATGTTGTGAAGTGTTTTGAGATGTTTCATCAGGGCAACATTAAAGGCAAGGATACATGTTGTGATTCCTTAGACCTGGATTAATTTGGATTACCTTCTAAACAATTACATTCTCCTGGCATGAAAGGCACTATATAAATGTAAATTTGTATTGTATTTTATTGATTATACGATAACATTTCAGCCCACAATTGTAGTTTTCAAAACATGCCACAAGGGCACATGACCATTCCATCAGATTTGACCATTTGTTTTTATACAGCAATTGAATGGTTTTGCATCTTATATGTTTTATGTTTTATTTTCCAGCTCCTACTCTTCACTCAAACATCTGCGCATCAGAGTCCATGTTCTACTTCATATTTATCTACCCATTTATCATTTTCGTGGCTCTCATTGCACTTTCAATATATTTTTACCTCCGGCCGAAGAAACCAAAAAGATCTGTCAATGATAAGATCTTCTGGACTCCCATTGAGAAAATAATGGGAGAGCCCAAGTTGGAAGAAGATTTGACCCTGAAATAATGTGCTATGGAACACCGTTATTGTAAAAGCTTAAACGCCCTTTGAAAATTTCACCTGTGACTGTTACTGCTATTGAAAATTACGTAAAAGGAGCAGCTAATAGTACGGCTGGTGAAGAAGAAGAAGAAGAAGAACAGGAGGAAAAAGAAAAAAAGGAAGCTTAAATGAGGATAATTCAATCACTTTAAAGTGGAGGCGCATGTTCAGGTGATTCATTCATCTGAAAGATTACATCCGCTTTTTCTAATATTGAAAAAAAAGTAATTTGACTTGAATTGGGAATTCTTGCCTTCTAAGAGATTTTTTTTAAATACGGCCTCTTTGTTGTCTACAATATGATATGGAATCTCAGTTTTTCTCCAAGCCGAACAGCTGTATAATATGCCAGCTTCACATTACCGCCAGAATTTGTGCTATCGCAATTCAGCAGCAACACAGTCTTAACAACATTCCTAGCCCAATATTCTTTACAATTTGCTGCCCGGTGCTCAAAGGGTAAATGCATTGCATTGTGTGGTGTACTGAGATATAGAGAACAGGAAAGTCCCAAGATTCGATCCCTGGTCTATCATGAGTTAGTTGGCCTGAGTTGTTTAGCAATGAGGTTGCTGTGATCTTACTGAATGTCACTGATCCAGAGAGGGAAGGAGTTAAATCAGAACAATTCCTTTTTGTTCACTAGCAAAGTTCTGCTGGAACGGGAGAATATGTGGATGCCTGGTGAAGATAGGGGGGCGGTTTGGCTGTAATACACCCATGGTCGTGGCTAATTGAAGGAGAAGTAGCATTTCAACCGGGGTACTGTTGGGATTCTTAGAACAGAACCCAAGCATGAATCATTGCCTCAGGGTAGGAGAGAAAAAGTAATGCTGCCTCAGGGGAAGCTTTGTTCGGATAATTTATCTGAGAGCAATGCTACGTCTTGTTTTTATTTGAACATGTAAAGATTTGATCTATATATATGTGTTTGTATATATAAATTGAAGTTGTTTTATTCTTGAAGCCAGACTTTTATTCAAATGCAAAGCGTTCTACGTTTTCTAATTTAAAGTTCCACTTTTTTTGTGCGTTTGCTAAGAAAAACTATTTTTGTTGCCTTGATTTTTTTGTTACAATAATAAAATTTTAAATGGATTGATCAATTATCTTGTTTTCAATTCCCTCTTCGGAGTTTACTTGCGCTGGGAACGTAAAAGCTGAAGGAAGGAAGGAATGCGAAAGAGGGAGAATAGATCAATGAAAATTCAGGATCAGTAAAGAGTATCAGTACTGAATGATACATCATTCTACTGAGCACCCAAGAAATGCATGAGACATTGAAATACTAGTTCTACGGCAGAATGGCTTCAGTCAATATGAAGGGAGATTGTAGAGCGACCACATCCATCCTGCATTAAGAGTCAGGCCAGGATTAATGTGATCCTTTCAACATAGCGCAATCCTAGCTCAGAAATGGAAATGCATTCAAACAAACATCTCGTCTCTCTTCCTTGAAGTGATGCACAATAAGCAAAAGAGGAAAACAAATGGAAGCCATGACTCCAGTCTGCATGTGTGTTCCAGCAATGTTTTGGGAGTGAGGAGATTGGTTGCATCGCAGATTCCACTTTTTCAATCCCACTGTTTGTGTGAACTTTTGAACTCTTCTTCATCAGTACTTTCACAGGAGTATCAACAGACAGAAAGTTTGATGCTCAGCATCCTCTATAGTCTATAAGTTTTGTTCAGTGGAAAAAGGAAAGTTATCAAAGTATTATTAAGTCATCTGCTACTGTTTGTAAATCTGTTACCACCTGCTGAAATGAGAATGTAGATCATTATTGTTCTCATATGTTTTAAAACGGTGTATTTTCAACTACTACTGAAAAATAGAAATACTTCTTTAACGTCATAACGTACGTACAGTCCACCGCTGCTAGTCAATGAGTACACCCTGTTTCCACCATTTGGAATGCTTTAGTTGCATAGAGGTGAGCTCAACCCATTACTTGGCCAGCAACTGTGGAAATTTCAGTCATTGTTGAAGGAAGTGGTGTTTTTGAGTCATGTGCACAGCATTCAGAGTAAAGGTTGAAGGCTTGCCAAATACAGGAAGTGTTTTTAGCAACATATTTAACTGCCATTTGTTCAGAAATAATTCTTCATCTGAGAAAGATATAAAATGGATTGAGAGACCTCAATGACTGACTAGGACTGATGGCATTGAGGTGGCAAACAGGAGGAAATAAATAGGATCAAATTGAGATGTCTGTGGTCGAGCTTGTTTTGTTCAAACAAAAACTAAAACTGTAGAGTGTAGGAGGTAGAGAAGACCGATGGAGATAAGAAGATTCACAGACTTGAGATCCTGAGAATGAATTAGATGGATGAGAGACAATATAATGAGTATCAAAGTCAATAGCAATGTGTTTATTCAGAGCCTTTCAAAGATGTTCTTGAAAGCAGGGAGAGCGCCAGTAATGCAGGGCAGCTTCAAAAGAAAATTTCAGAGGACAAGAGTGTGGTGGATAAAAGCTCAGCCACTGACGGTGGAGTGACCAATAAGCCAGGTCAAAATGGTAAATAATAAAGCTGGAAAGTAAGACTGGAGAAGATGACATAGGTAGAGTGGGACAAGAACTGGAGGGATATGCAATCCAGAAGTTTTTCATGAGGATGCAGAGAGGAGGTATTTGGAAGGTAGGAGAACAAGAGAGGAACATTCAGAGAAACAATGATTGTTAATAAAATGGAACAAAATAAGAAAGTTCCCAATGCAAAGAAAGGGTGAGAGGCAGAGAGGAGAGGTGGGGAAATGAAAGATTTGTGTTTTATCCTATGCAGGAATACAACATAGAGCCATCCAGAGAGATAGGGATTGCATTCAAATCCTGGATGGATTTGCTGAAACTTCAAAAGGAAAGATTTCAACATATCAATGTACCAGTTGATTCATTGCATTCCCAACAAACTTAACTGATACTTAGCACCATGGTCCTAATACTAATGGCAAGAGAAGGGAACTTCTCTCAGTGTCCTGGTCAATAAATACAAATGGGTCATTCACTTCATGGCTGTTTGTGTATATTGTTGTGCACAAATTGGCCTACGTGTTCATCTACAGAACACACAGTGACTGCACAGTATATCCTGTGAACACACAGTGTATCCTGTGAAGTGGTTTGGGATGTCCTCCTGACATGAAAGATGCTATATCAAATGTAAATATTATTTTTTTTAAATTAATACAAGCAGAGAGCTGATAAACATTGAATTCAGTATTTTGATTTAAATGAGGCTTTATAAAATATGTGCAATCACAAATATCCATCAATCGATGAATAAGATTTCCAACATAGCCAAACTCTCTCATTCATATCTGTCAGTCCTCTCATATCTATAAGAATATCCATTCAGCCACCCATACTCTACAAGGAAATGTACTTATACGTAAGTATGGAAAATAAAAATAAAAATCCGGAACTATGCTGAGCTGAGCCAGAAAGCGTAAAATGTGTCTAGAAGTATCTCACTACTTTAGTTTTGGGGAATGAAAGTTTAGAACATGTTCGGTTGTGTGAAATAGAACAGGTAGGGAATATATGCATCCTTCAAAGGTACAGAACTAGCAATCAACAAACCAACACTTAACAATGAATGGAGCCTGCATTTGAAGTGGCAGCTGTGAGTAAATTAGATGTGCTCATAACTGAAGACATTTTTTCATGATTTAACAAAATATATGAACGTGACTGCTGCCATAATTTCCTGGGTGCATTTTTGACTCTTGTGGTCTCACAGGAAAATTATCAAGTAAAAGATCTTTGAAATTGAACTCAGAACTCAAATCATCATCTCACAGCTGTCAACTGTTCATGACAGACTCTTAATGGTAATTTCCACTTTAAGAACATTTGCAATAGGAAAGATTGAATATAAAGATGTTTAGAATGCTACGAACAGGCCTCAGAGTTAGATCACTACCAATTTAATGTCTGGCAGTATTGGAAGCTTAAGGGTGACATTTCAGTAAGCAGGGGAGGCTCACCTCATTGAGAATCTAATCTGAAGCATGCCTAGAGGGACAATGCTTTGCCTGGTAGAATCCGGAATACCTAATCTTTAAAAGTCCTGCTGATTGATTGCCAGGGGTTGGATATCAGTAGATATGAATACAGTCAGAGATAAAGCTTCAGAGTCAATGAACGTAAGACACACTGCAAAAAATCCAACTGATGGACTCAGTTTTTTTTTGCTCTATTTGCAGCAAAGTCAATTTTTTTTGCAATCTGAGACAGAGTTAGAGAAGAGAAGGTAAAAAAATAGAAAAATATTCTGAACATAAAACAATCAATTCTCTCGTACACATTTTCAGAAAAAAAACCTCTTTGCGAGAGGAAGTGATTTCCTTGCAGGAATGGACAGATTCTTTGCGATTGACTAACAGTATCAATAAAATGGTATTTGGCTGGGCAAGCTTCTTTCTTTGCTCAGAGAATTTCTACTGTTCTTCTTTTTGGCAGGATTTATGGTGGTGAAGCTTTGGACGAGTGCTGACTGCTGCAAAAATATTACTTTCTTTAAGTGACAGAAAAACGAGAGCAGACTTTCCCAAGTTGGTACTTGACTGTGTTGCAGCCAGTTGTGTTTCTCACCTCAATTCAAAGACACATCGACAGTTTTTTTGACTTTAAAATGTTTGCTTTTAATTATATTTTAGGCTAGTATCTGGCGAACAAGCGTGAAATCTGCATCCTCCATGGCCTGATTAAAGCCTTTCCCGAACTGTACCTGATAACTTCATCTTTCTTTATGTATAAACCCAAGCATTAAGATCTGACATCAGCATTGACAAGGTATTTGGCTGTGGACATGTCCACTACTGAGCTAGATCCTATTTGCATCCACATATTCGACCTTTGTAACAGGAAGAGTTCCAAAATTCCACCAAGACTTAAAGCCATCTAAAAACTCCAAGACACCAACCGTGAAAAGCAGTTGTTAGCATTGTTGTAAGACCATTGAATTTAAGATTGCAGCTTGTGGGAAATTCTTAAATTCAATTTTAATTTGAAAGCTGGTTTTCCACAGCTGGCAAAAGGAACCAGTTTTTGTTTATCTAAATTAAAACTGAATTTACGAATTTTCCAATAGTTCGTTGTGATCTCAAATTGTAAGACAAAACGGTCTTACAGTCTAAGACCGGGTGCCATTTCCAGTCTCAGGAGGAAGAACTGTGGCTGAAAATGTCTTGATTCTAACCTTGTAGCATGGCCATCACAGCTCTGGTTGAAGTGCATTAACTCACACTGGTGACTGAACTTGAAACTTACTGGATCTGTACAGCTCAGCTTGTGCCAGGCAACTGCTGGGGAAATACCAATGACGCAATATATTGCAACCTGCTGACCAAAGCGGCAAGATGGATTTGGAGAAGCAGTTTCTGACATTAAATGAACTATAAAGGAATGAAAATAGGTCATTTTTTTTGGTGATTTAATGACGTAAATGATTTTGCATAAATCATTGATATCAACGACAATATTCGAATGTAGTACTTTACAATTAGACAGTTCCCCTCTGATGGGCAGCAGTGCGTGATTAGAGTATGTGCAGATTAAATATGCATTTCCTCATTTTTACTTCTCAGCTATTGACATGAGCGATAAATGATGTGCAGATGTCTATCTTTTTACCACATTAGAGCACGTCTTGTGCGTCTTAATTTCCTGCTGATATTCATACTGTTTACCCCTAAAGCATTTGCTGTGGCTTTGTCACATACAATGCATGTCTGTGTCTGTCGGTCTGTCTGGGGGATATTTGACCCTGTGGATTTGCTGAAAAATTTGTACTACAACATCTTGGTGTTAAAGACCTTTGTGCATCCTGTTTGGAGTGGAGTGTTGGACTGGTTCAGATCCTGCCTTTCACACCATTTCCACTTTGTCTCCACAAACAGCTTCTCCTCTAGCCCCCGCACCATCATGTGCGGTGGTCCTCAGCACTCTGACCTATGCTTCCTCTTGGTCAATTTCCACATGTATGCGGATGAAACCCAACTTTATTTCTCTGTTTTCATCCTCGACACCAGGGCCACTGATGTCCTGACAGAATGACTGTCACACATCAAGTCCTAGATGTGTGCTAA